TCCTTTCTATGCACATTATTAATGCACTCCGTAGTTAATCCGTAGTATTTGATATACTTTACAGTGGAAATGAAATTGGGAAAAGGAATGCAATAATTGGATGGCATCTTTCATCTAGGTACTTCTCTCCACTTGTGTCATATCCACACGCGACTGGTGTGACCTCGGCATCCGAAACAGGGCTTGTGGGCGCATACACCCGATTGTCGGGATTACACTGCACTGGGTATAGGATCAGATCTCTAAGGTGTAGGAATATGCGCTCTAATGGGTAGTATACACATATAGAATAGAAGAAGAACAGCAAGAGGACCCGAAGTCTATATATCCACTATAAGCGTTCAGGGGTGCCCAGGAGCGCAATAGACATCCAATATAGTGCCAAGAACGCTAAACCCATATGCAATCTAACTATCCTCGGTGTTCAAATTAGCATAACCTCTCTATTAATGCATCTGGTAACCGCAAGTGCGTCAGCATGGCTGATCATCCACCATGACAAAGAACGAACCATGAATCTTGGAAGAAAGCAACTTGATTGACTGGAACTATCCGTACATCGGCTGATCTTCGCCATGTCAATCATCTTTAGCAGATACACGAGGTGGACCTGGAACTCTGTGGAGCCGTGGTACATATGTCCGCAGCAAGCCGGTATCCTTATTTCTACCCGAATAGATCATTAATGGCCTGCCGTGTTCCGTTGCAACGTATGATCAAACTGGTCTTACTTTACAACATACTTCATTCCAATCTTCCTATTCGTCATATATACTGTTGTCTCTTCGCAGTGGCCATCGCCACCTTATTGAGGCATATAACTAACAACGTCCTGCTGACCTATTCCTGGTCTATAATCAAATGACTGAACTTGACAGAAAACTCCCCGCCCTCGGTTGATGGCCGGGCAGCATAGATACCAACCCAGAAGTCCTCCACATTCTCCTGTTCAAAGATCCAAGTGACCTCCCGGATAGGAGACTTCTGCAAGCCCTCAACAAGATAGATCCACAGACTGTTGTCCTCTTCCCTGACCAGTTCAAGGGTTGCCGAACCACTACCTGAAGGCACTGAAAGCAAACTCCAGTCCGCCCAGTTATCTTTGGCGACGACGCTGAGGTGGGGTTTGCCGTGGGTGAGTTCAATGCCGCACTTCACCCACTTCTGGCCACCACCAGCAGTATTGAGGACGAGCACCACACCACCCTGGTCATATTTCTTCTCCCAAAGGCCAGTGACGGCGACGCGGATCCGCTTGAATGACTTCAGCGGCACGGACTTATACAGAATCGGGGCCGAGAAGGAGATAGTGGAAGGTGGCTTGGCCCAAATATCTGTGGAAGCTGGTGTTTTGATGGTAAACTCTGCGGGAAGGACACCTTTGCCTGGCACTTCGGCATCAGAATTGGCGAATTTGAATTGCGATTGCGACATGGTGGGCTGTGGAATGCGGGGAAGCCGTGGTATATTCACAGATGAAGTATGTTCAATCACCACGCCACGGATACTTGGTCAAGTGGGTGGTTAGGTGGAAGATTGCGGATTTGAGTAAGTGAACAAAGAGAGTAAGCGGAAAGATAAATGATTTCGCCTAGGCGCCAACAGAACAGACAAGTCCATGGGTGCCCGGACGACAGCTACGTCACTACATACCGGGACTTCCTACTGCGGTTATCCAAATGATGAAATAGACATAGAGCTCTCCATTTACTTGTTTTGTTCAATGTTTTATTTCCCGATCTAGAACATATTTATTGAAGCCCAGAAACATTTGGGCTCGTTATATTTCACATCCCACCGTACCGATGCCAAGGCATTACATGTACCGCCTTCTATAATAGCTATACCGCCCGGTGCTTTCCAATTATTACTGGCAGACAATCTAATTGCCGGCAGAATAATAATCGCAAGTTGTCTGACACCACGTGATGGCATTGATGATGTAAGTTCTCCATGGAGGCTTGCTTTTTATCATCAACAATAGCTGCAATGTGCCAGCTTATTGAATCAATTTGCAGCTAAAGATAGGCCTAAGGGTGTATACCCATTTGGTACCACGATCCGCCATGACTGCACGACTACTGCATCCCGATGAATGGGAGCTTGCCTCACGGTCCTCAGTTGACTCGCAGGGGACGTTCAATCTCGACGAGGCCGATTTCGAAGCTCAAGTCCCTTCTTCATCCAAATTTGGTAAACGAAAACTGCCCTGGCTGTCCCAAATCTTCTCCTCGGCATCGGCGGGTTATCGCCGCCTGAACAACACTTCCAGACCGATTCTCGCAGGCACACCACGACCGAGCTGTTCTCGACGTCTCTGTATTCGCCGCTGTTGCTACCTCCCCGTCGTCGCCGGCATCGTTTTTGTCCTCGCGCTCTTTACCTCGCTACTCTTCCCGTCATATACCCATCTGCCCGCGCATTACTCTACCCTCCGCAAATCAGTACTCGAGAGCTCATACCCCGGACGAGGCAATCCCCGCAAGGAGAAGGTCTTTATTGCAGCAAGTCTGTATGATAGTGGCGGCAAGCTTGCTCAGGGCCAATGGGGAACACAACTCTTGGTGCTGATTGATCTGCTCGGTCCTGACAATGTGTTCTTGAGTATCTACGAGAATGACAGCGGTGAGGAGGGAGAGCGCGCATTGCGCGCGTTAGAGGAGAAAGTGGAGTGCCAGAAATCCATTGTGTCTGAAAAGCACCTGGACCTGAATAGTATACCGACTGTGACCATTCCTGGTGGATCAAAGCGAATCAAGCGCATCGAATATCTGGCCCAGGTTCGGAACCGAGCATTACAGCCATTGACCGACCACCCGGAGATGAAGTTCGATAAGCTACTCTATCTGAACGATATCCTCTTCCAGCCCGCCGAGGTTCCCCAGCTCTTATTTTCCACAAACGCCAACGCAGACGGTGTTGCCCAGTACCGTGCGGCCTGCGCGGTAGACTTTGACAACCCTATCAAATTCTACGACACATACGCCACCCGCGATCTTGAAGGTTACAGCATGGGTCTCCCCTTCTACCCGTGGTTCACTTCATCCGGCAAAGGCGAGAGCCGAAGCGATGTGCTAGCCGGAAAGGACGCAGTGCGAGTGCGCAGCTGCTGGGGCGGAATGGTGGCATTTGATGCTAAATACTTCCAATCCGGCTCGCCACCCACAACGCCTAACCCAGCTCGCTTCCGCTCCGGACAGGATCTCTTCTGGGAGGCGTCTGAATGCTGCCTCATCCACGCGGACATCCAAGACCCGCAAACCAACATCGACGAGATCACCGATGCGGGCATTTATATGAACCCGTTCGTGCGGACCGCTTATGACTCCCGCACCCTCTCTTGGCTAGGAGTCACTCGCCGTTTCGAGGGGTTGTACTCGTTCCTCCACAACCTTGGCAATCACCTTGTCGGTCTGCCTTGGTACAATCCCCGTCGTGCGGAAGTCCCCGGCCAAATTGTGAAGGAGACTGTGTGGGTTCCAGATGCTGCGCAGGATGGTAACGGCTCTTTCCAGGATATTGATCGGGTTGCAGGCAATGATGGCTATTGTGGTCGTCGCGGCCTGCAGGTTATTATTCAAGACCGTAAGCCCGGGCAGAAAGGATACGAGAGTATTCCTATCCCATCGTAGACTTGGAAGCTTTAATGTTGTGGAATCAGATACCCATTCTATCCATTCTTGTTATATAGATTTGCTTCTTTTGGTGTCTTCGGTGTATTGCTATTTTTTGGAAAAACTTTAGGAGCATTAGATCAACGCATAGTTCGTGAGCTAATATTTATATCTCTGAGACTAGACCACTTGAGGCGTGCTGTGCATATAAGAGCGGAATGTTTCCATTCCCCCTCATTTCAGATTGAATGGAAATGAACAGTATGCCTATGAAGTAGTGACTATACTAGCACACCACAGGACAATACTGAGGACTTCATCATGGCCATCATCTCAGAAGCATTGATCTCAGTCTGGTCACATCTACCAGCCATCCTTGTAACCCTTGCTATATTTCACTTTACGCGCAATTATCTCAAACCCGGAGTAAGGTCCATCCCCGGGCCATTACTAGCTAAGATAACGAACCTCTGGAGGTTCATCGATGTCGCCAACGGTCGTTCAAAAGTGACGCTTCATAACCTTCACCAAAAGAACGAGGACTATGTTCGACTAGGACCCAACGTGGTCAGTGTGCGGAATTTGGATGCCCCGAAAACAATATATGGCATTAATAAAGGATATCAAAAGGTGTGTTCAAATTGCAATAACTGATTGATCTTTCTGCTAACATTTGCCAGACAAACTTCTATTCTGTTCAGCAGCAGCTTGTCAAAGGAAGACCAACACCTACACTATTTACTACAACCGATGAAGTCTTTCATGCTGCTATTAAGAGACCGGTCTCCTCAGCTTATGCAATGAGTACTCTGACTGAATTCGAGCCTTTTGTCGATAAGACTATTCATACTTTATTTGGGAGATTGGATGAGTTCGTAGCTGAAGCAAAAGCCTGCGATATTGCTGCTTGACTGCAATACTGTAAGTCTATTTCTTGTGAGACATGAGAGCGGGAGCTAATGTAGCTCAAAAATGCGTTCGATGTCATCGGAGAATCGACATTTAGTAAACCACTCGGGTTCCTCGAGAAAGGGAACGATGTCGACGGAATCATCGTCGCATTGGAGCATATGCTTGACTATGTCGGAAAGGTTAGTATTTCGTATTGAATAATGACTTGAAAGCTAATTAGAGTGGGCATTAGATTGGGCAGATGCCATGGCTTGACTACCTTTTTATCAAGAACCCCCTCAGAAGCTTCTTCGCGGGGGGATCGACCGGAGCTGTGGCTCTCTTTGCTCGCGCAAGACTAGAAGAGCGATTGAACCAGAAAAGCACGTCAGTGACCAAGACACACAAAGGCTTTCTCAATCGCTTTTGGAAGCGATAGACGAACATCCGACTATTGTAGATGATAACCAAGTCCTCTCATATACGATCAGCAATATGAATGCTGGCTCTGACACAACGGCGATATCTCTCCGAGCAATACTTTATTACACCCTTAAGAGCCCGCCAGTAAGTATAAAGCTGCACCAAAAGCTCACCATCGCCTTGAAAGAAAACCGGATCTCGGTACCTGTTTCATGGAAGCAAAGCCAAGAGCAACTCCCTTACCTCGATGCCGTGATTAAAGAAGCATTACGTCTTCACACGGCCGTGGGATTGATGCTTGAGCGAGTTGTGCCCGCCGAGGGACTCCAGCTTCCTGACGGCGGCCCATTCCTACCGGCCGGGACGATAGTTGGTGCGAATCCGTGGATAGTACATCGTCATCGGGTCTGTGGGGGGGGGGGATGTGGAGTCGTTTGTTCCGGAACGGTGGCCCAAATGGATACCGAGTCCGAGGCCAATTTCCTGGACAGAAAGCAGAAGATGCTTCGTGCGACGTTCACTTTCGGGGCTGGACCGAGGACCTGCATTGGTAAGAATATCAGTCTGCTGGAGATTTATAAGCTGATTCCATCGCTGTTTCTGAGATACAAGGTAAGAGTATGGTTCCAGAAACGAGATTTGATTCTAACCGGGGCTTCTGCAGATTGAATTCAATGATCCAAGTGCAGAATGGGAAATTGTTAATGCGTGGTTTGTGAGGCAGAAGAATATGGATGTGAGGTTGACCTGTAACAGTGAGGCTATAGTAGTATCATGAAGTTGGACAGCGGCGACCTGGGGAAGGACTCGAAAGAGCGACTCACTCTCTGTTTTATCCAGACCCAAATGTTTTGTTTTGCAGAGAATGGCTGCTGAGACTATAATAGCTGAAGCTACCTTGTCAGGATTGGAGAGCTGTCAGTAGAAGAAGACTGAAGAAGACCGTGCTCGGAAGGTATCCCCACGTGCCTTTGTTCTATAGTTCCGGCATATTAGCTGATGAACAAGATACTACTTAGCACGCAACGAGACAGGTTAATACAAGCACAAATAGTAGCAGAGGAATAAAGAGTAGTGTTTGCTTACAGGAGATTTCTTTGTCTGACATCCAGAGAACAGTGGGATATCTAATATGTGCCCTATAGGAATGACTCCGGGCCATTCTATCTTGATGTCTGTCTTCCAACCCAGTCTTTCCTGAATGAAACAAGTATAGCCAGAATAGTATGAAAGCATGAAGCCTTTGAATGTTCCTTCCCGTCTTGCATCCAATTGTGCCTTCCTAATTCGAACACAGAACGCATCTGTTCTACGCGGGTACTCTAATAAAATGGTCCGTTTTGTTCTTCTTCTTCTTCTCCTTTTCCTTCTCCCCATCCTGCTACTTTTTTCGTTCCATCATGGAGACAACCAAAGTCATTGGGCCTAACGGCCTTGCTCCAATTACTCTGCAGCGATTGGCAGAGATTCGCATCACCACTGAGGTCATCTACAAGATGATCACCAACAGCAACATGATCAGTCTGGAGGAGAGTGCCCATGCTCCTATTGATGTCCGTAACAAGGCTCGTGCTGATCGCCTCGCCGGCGTGCACACGGTCTCGGCTTCCCTGACCACTCGTCGTTTTACCCAGATGGGTTTCGATGAGCCTAAGCTGTATGATGCCTCGAAGGATATTGAGCTGGCCATGCAGGTTAACAAGGTATGTCTCACTCTTCCCAATGCCCCCATTGCCCCTCATCCATTCCTATCCCCACCTTGCCCTTGCCCACTACATGTTATGGTCTTCTTCATTAAGTCGCTTCCATTCTCTCTTCGTGTTTTGTCCCCGCGACTTGATCCCCATTTCATATCAACACTCAACGCTCATCTCTCATCTCTCTTCGTTACTCTCATCTCACACTGGTCTTTCATAGGACGAGAAAGCTGCTGCTTCCCCTGACGCCGCTCAGGAGACTGCCACTCCTCGTGCCCCTGCTTCGTGTGCCCCCGCCAAGAAGACTTCTGGCATTGATCCGCGTGCTAAGCCGTTTGTTCCTGCTGCCAACCCTGCTGGATCCAAGGACAAAGCTGGTGAATGCAGGGATACAGACAACGACTCCACCGCTGGCTCCAAGGCATCCCAGAAGGCCGAGTCCGTCGCGGATGAGCCTACTGACTCTTCCAAGAAACCCAGAGGTGTTACTGCCCCAGCTGACTTCATGAAGCAAGTCCGTTTGCTCCACCTGCAGAAGCAGATGGCACCCAAGGTTGTGCCTACCGGACCTCCTCGTCGGATCGTTTTCGGAGATCTTCCTGACTGGGCCAACATCTCCAGCGTCCTTCAGCTCGTCTACGGCGGTGCTATCGAGCGCGCTTGGAGTGAGGATGGCCACGTCGTCGTGCAGTTTGTTGAGCAAGACGACTGCGTTAAATACCATGAGAACCACTCTGATGGAATCAAGTTGAAGGATGGTGATGACGACGTCACTATCTCTGTTACCATGCCCGAGGAGGGCCTGAAGGACAATGACGAGCTTTCGAAGCGTGTCGAAGATGGTGCTTCCCGCATCGTTTGCCTCTCTGGCCTTTCCCCCGGCTTCCAGACTAGCGACAACGAGAACATCTTGGGTATTGCCGCTGACCCTGCCTGGGGTGCCAAGAGCTTCGAACGCATCATGATCAAGCAAGCTGAGGTAAGTTTGCAGTAGTTCTATGTTTTGAGTCTTACTAAATTTTCTTTCTTTCAAGTCTGGCATTGACATCCAGGTTTCCTTCTATGATCTCCATGACGGTTGGGAGTTCTTGCAGACCATCAAGGAGGGCGCGTATGACTGCATCGCCAGCTTTGAGGTTGATCCGTAGGTTTCCGGTTTGCACTTTCACTCTTTCTTTACTAACTGGTCTACTAGATGCGCTCTCGCCCAGGGTTTCCACTTCATGGATGAGCCCAACCTGATGTTCTCTGGCATTCTCGCCGTTGACTAGGGTATGGAATTGATATCCATCAACAACCGCGGCCGCGTTGATAGCCATCATGGCTTGGATGAAAGTGTGGGGGATACAAAGGAAATTTCGGAATTGAGATCTTGCAATTTGCTTTCGATGGGTTTTCAGTTAGTGATTCTTCCTCTTGCTAGGACATGATTATCTACGTAACCCAATCAATGAAACAATTAAATTCGATCAACCCTTGGAACATATACCGTATATAGCAGCTGCTACAGTAACAACCTTACCGTACAACCCAGGTCTTACACTCGCACAACCGTGACGAAAGAAGCACAATGGCACATAATATTTAAGCCTGCTAATTGGCCGCTTTAAATTAAATTAGTCATAAAGTATATCGGCATTTGCAGTGCCCCTCCTGCTCTTTTCATATTAGTGCGGATGAGATTCGACAGCGCGGAAGAGGGCCAGTGGTCGAATGGAGTCGAATGTGGAGTTTTCAGGATTTAGTGCGAATTGTAGCGCCGGGGATGTCGAACCGATGTGGATAGCTTTGAGGTCTAATTTTTAGTTTTTGAATTGTGTTACTTAATATTAGTATACGAAGATTAGTACAATGTACATTGTACGCTTTGCCCTAAATGCCATATGCAGTATGACCTCGCCTAGTTATAGGACCGTGACACAATACTACACTTCATATTACCTATATCGTACAGTCTTAACTCGCAATAGAATGAAATATCCATGATTCAGATACAACTAGCTCGTATTATTGGCCCCCAAAGTACAGAGTCCAAAGTACATTTACCAAATTTCCCCTGGAAGCGAACACGGGCGAACTATATCATCGTGCAACATCATGCATACATACTATGATATCAAGCCTCGGCAATGATCCTTTATCGTCACAGGCGAACTAATTTACCTTTTATGACGCATTTACAAAGTACATCTTCAACACTTAACATAACACATCAACGACCCCTTATTACACTTATTACATCCGCCCCACAGCCCGAAATAACAATTCATGCCCACCAGAAATAAAGTCCTCGAATCGGGAATTATCCTTCTGTCAAAGAGAAAGCGACAGAAAAGAAACGAAACGAAAAAAAACCCACGATGGAGTCCGCGGGTGAAGTCCCGAACCCCGGCACGCTAGGAATTGACAGGATCGGCCCCGTTTATATGTCTTTGTTTTTTCCGACGATCTCTAGGGGTTAGCGAGAGTAGTCACGATCAAAACGGAAACAATAGTAAGATTAACTACGGAGTATCTAAACAATTAACTACCATATACCGAAAAGAGAAGCCGATCGAAAACCACGGCAATTGGCCCAAGCCCGAGTCCAAGCCCAAGCCTAATATCATATTGCACGCACGGCTAAGTACTTTGTACATACAGCATAAGTACCAGGACAACAATGTGATTCTTCAAGCCCCTGACAAGTCCCTGATCCTGGTCTTGGGAGGCTCTAGAAGTACATATACATAGTTATACATATGTACCTAGTAATGAACTAACTAATACAAACCGGTACTTTGGCATTCCCCATTCATCCATCCCGTATAAGCCGAAGCGAAGGCGAACAAAGAACAAAAATAAAGCCACGAAAAAAACAAATAAAAGCCCCTGATCAAGTAATGGAAATGTCAGAATCGCACTAGATAACTATTTCCCACATCCGAGATCTTCATACTAGACTAGTACGGAGCACGGCGGACGGCGACGACGGACGGATATGGAGCACTTAGACGAGAGATGGCACTCGCCTTGCCGTGAAGGACAGGGACCCGCGATCGACGGATCGGAGGGATTGGCCGGGTTGTGGATAGGTTTCTTTTCTTAGCCTTGCACGGTCTGGCTGTGTTGACTAGCGGGTTGGATGGAGTATGGCGGACTACTACGAGTCATGTTCTGGGTCAATATCCAGACCAAGAATAGATGAAGTGGCTAGAATGGTCTGAATATTCTGGATTTGAATAGTAAGGTTGCGAGTATACTCTGTACTAGCATATGTATGCAGCGATAACCGCGAGTCAGTCATTGCACTAGAGGCTGGACTATGTTGGTTATCAATAGGCGCGGATGGAGCTGGCGTTGCTCGGGATTTGGAATAGGAAGGATGAAAGTAAGGGATTTGCTTGAGGTGTTTGACAATAATGCAGAGGATAATACCTGATTCATGGATCCTGATTCCTGGATAAAGCATAGCATTGGAAGAAAACATTTCAGACTCAATTCAACCTCGACTTTTATAGTAATATCTAGATCTTAATCCGGATGTTTTGACTCTCACAGCATGGATAGCTCCACACAACATATAGATATTATAGCCCCAAGATCCAAGCTTGGAAAGTGTAAAGTGAAAGTGTAGACAAGAAAAGGACAGGAACCCAGATGGAAGATATGTAACGAGAGAACATCAAAACGACAACAGACCTCCCACGCTGAATAGAGGTATCTTAATAAAGACGAAGACCGACCCACGCAAAAACAAGACAGACAAATTGACCTCCCAACGAAACCACCCAGAACCAAAAAAAAAAAAAAAATCACTTCCGTCGCAACGGCAACGCACCATCCCCCTCCTTCCTCATCCAAGGATACCAAACATTAGTATACTGCCTAACGCCATACTTCGGCGTAGCACCATGCGCCGCCGAGGCACCCTCACGCAAGAACTCGCCGTCCCGCATGCGCCGCTGCTCCCGCAGCGTCGGACACTTCTTCTCCTTGATAAAGCGGTAGAACTTGCACTGGATGCCCTGGAAGCCGCTGCGCTGGCGATCATGGAACTGGCGATTGAAGGCAGCGCGGACCTCCTTCCACTCCTGCGACAGGTCGACGCGGTGGTACCAGATGAAGTACATTTCCTCCTCCTCGTACTTTGGCCGCGGCGGCCGGCGGCGGTCGCCGTTGGTCGAGGAGGCGCTGGAG